GTGGCCCAGCCCTGATGAACCACCTAAGGCTCTGCTCCTCACCCAGAGGTGCAAAACAGAAGAGGGGGCCGCCATTTCCCTGCTCTGAACACGCCCCCACATACAGCGTCACAACCCAGCAACCTGGAATCCAAGGCTCCGTTCCTCACACTTAAAGGGCGCGAACAGCCCAAAAATGGCTCAAGAAGATCTCAAAGCCCCAGAGCCTATAAATCTAAGCAACAAAGAAATAGCAAAACTCTCAGATGCACAGTTCAAAACACTGGTGATCAGGATCCTCACAGAACTGGTTGATTATAGCCACAAATTAGATAAATATATGAAGGCGAAACTAATTGAAATGAATGGAATTGCACAGAAAACCAATAGCGATGAAAAGGAAACTGGGACTCAAATCAATGGAGTGGACCAGAAGAAAGCAAATAATGGCCAAACAGAAAAGAGTCAAGAAGCAAGAATTCAAAGAAATGAGGAGAGTCTTAGGAATGTCCAGGACATCTTTAAACGCTCCAACATCCGAATTATAGGGGTACCAGAAGGGGGAAAGGCACAGCCACCAGTGGAAAACTTATTTGAACAAATAATAAAGGAGAATTTCCCCAATCTGGCAAAGGAAATAGACTTCCAGGAAATCCAGGAAGCTCAGAGAGTCCCAAAGAAGTTGGACCCAAGAAGAAACACACCAAGGTACATCATCATTATATTAGCCAAGATTAAAATGAAGCAGAAAATCCTAGAAGCAGCAAGAGATAAGGGGACAGTCACCTACAAAAGAGTTCCCATCAGACTGTCAGCAGATTTCTCAAAAGAGACCTTACAGGCAAGAAGGGGCTGGAAAGAGGTATTCCAAGTCATGAAATCCCAAAACCTACAACCAAGATTGCTCTATCCAGCAAAACTTTCATTTAGAATGGAAGGACAGATAAAGTGCTTCTCAGATAAGATCAAATTCAAGGAGTTCATCATCACCAAGCCCTTATTATATGAAATGTTAAAGGGACTTATCTAAGAAAAAGAAGTTAAAAAAACATGAACAGTGAAAGGACAGCAAACTCACAGTTATTAACAACCACACCTAAAACGAAAGCAAACTAAAAGGACAGCTAGATCAGGAGTGGAAACATAGAAATGAAGATCTCAAGGAGGGTTAGCAACAGGGGAGTGGGAGGAGGAGAAGGGGGGAGAAGGTACAGAAAATAAGTAGCATAGACCATAGATAGAAAATAGATTGGGGGCAAGAATAGTATGGGAAATATAGAATCTAAAGAACTTGAGACACATGGTCATAAACTAAAGGGGGGGTAATGGGGACGGGGAGGTAAGGTGGAGGGGAATGAAGGGAGGGAATAGAACTGTAACAGCATAATCAATAAAAAATTAAAAAATAAATAAAACAGACATTTCTGTAACTGGGATAGGGAGTGGGACGTGTTGAAAAAAAACATTAAACAGCCTCGTTTTTGACAAAGCCGTGACCTTTTATCGTAGAAATGAAATATAGGTGTCCTATCTCCAGGGGAGAACTAGCCCTTCTCCACGGAAGACTAAGCACCATTTTTAACTCAGTACCTGTAAACACTGATCATTCCCTTGAGGAAAACCTGGCCATTCTCCCGGAGGGAATGGTTAGTTCATGAAAGGCTCTTGGCACATAACCACTTTTGCCTAAAACATTTTTAAGCAGGGAACCCCCTCCTTCCCACTTTCCTTGCAAATTCTGAACCTATGAGCTCCCCAAACCTTCAATGCATTATTAAGTAAACAAAGAAGGGGGAGACATACTCTCCTCCTCTCTCCAGAGACGCCTCAACTTAGCTCTCTCCACCTTCAATTTTTTAAACTGTGATTAACAAGGACTGACAGCAGCAGACAGGCATCATCCGGGGGCCACGGCGAAAGCTGCAGGTTTGGTATTTTGGGAAGATTTAAACACTGGTGTGTGTGGAAGGGCCCGGATCCAGCGTTAACGTGAGGAAGAGGACGTGTTTGTCTCTTTCTGGAAGGTGCGGATGGCCCCCTCTGGGTGGCTGAGAGACCAGTGACACACTGTCATGTACCCAGAGAGCCAGGGGAACCTCAGATGAAGGGGATGAGACTGATGCTGTCTGCAACGATGTCTCGATCTGTGTGCTCGACTCGAGAAGCCACACTGTCCACATGGGGACGGCTGAGGAAACTTGTAGATGAGGCGGAAGGAATGGTCCGTCATCGAGGAGCATCTAAAATCCCCAAGAGCATGTCTGTGGCCATGCTGGCAATTCTGCCATGTCAGGTTTGTAGCTGTAGAGGAGAGTGCTACTGAGTTTATCTCCCTGACCCACCAGTGGCCAATCCAACCTCTTGGGAAAGTCCCTCCATTCCTGGGTTCACTAATGACACCCAGGTAGTGGGGGGATGTTCAGCAAGTCATATTTCTCTCACCTCATGTGGAGGATTTAATTATACCAACCTCAGTGCCACCCCACCTATATGTCTTTCCTCTACTGAGAAGACTGGGTGTTTACTGTTACAACAAGAAAAACAAATTGCCTATAAAGATTGCCGATATCACAGGGCCTGGGAACAGTAGAAAATATATACAAACAGTGTCCCAGTGGGGACTCCCTAACGTCTCTCAGATCATTCCCAGCGGCATCTCTCACTGCCCTATTGCCCTAACCAGAAACATGTTAAGATAAGGGGCTTCCCACCTTGGCAACCTTGTTCCTGTGCCAACTATGAGTGCACAACCTTGTTCCTGCCAAGGACAGTGTTGCCAGAACGGGGATCTCCCTCTATTGCTGGGCACGTAAGATGGACCCACCTCATCCCCATCATCAACTATGTCCGCTGGAAGATTTGTCAGTAATGTACTCGCTAGCAGGGCAGGCCAAATACCAAGGGAAATCTGGCGCCTTGAAGCTGCCCTATGCTTAATAAATTTCACCACCCCTAGCACGGGTGCCCTGGGTCTGACATTTCAATATGGCCTTCATGCCTGCATCCAACAGCCTTATGCCACAGTCACAGGACAAGTTAATATTACTTATCGAGAGGAGAAATATATTGTGATCTGTGAAAAGTGTAACTTGACTGTGTGTCCAGATAAAATTCTGAAGAGGACATACTACTTATATTCCTCAACCCCCTTTTATAATGATTCCAGTAAATGTCACGGGACCATGGTATGCAGATGCCGGCCTACAAGTGCTTAAAGAACTACAAAAGGCCTTAAGTTACCCTAAGAAAGTGCTTGGTCTTATTGTGGTCAAAATTATTACTCTTGTCACAGTCCTTGCATCAGCAGCCACAGCTGCTGCTGCACTTATGCAGAGCATCCGAAATGCTGAATTTGTTAATACCCTAGCTTATAATACTTTGGTAACCTTAAATACTCAAGGTGTGATTGATGTCAAGTTAGAAGCTAAACTTAATGCCCTTGAAGCAGTAGCAATGGGTTTAGGAGACCCAATACAAGCCATTAAATTTAGACAAAGACTGCAGTGCCAAGCGTGATATCAATATATTTATCTCACTCAAGCTTTATATAACAGCAGCCAGTGGAATTTGGAAAAGGTCAAAACTCATTTGCAAGGAGTATGGCATCATAAGAATGTAAGGTTAGATTAAACTCAATTACACAGAGAACTGTAAGTACACAAGAAGCCAGGGACCCTATCATAAACCATGCTCAGACAGCTCAAGAGTTATTATCTGAGTTAAAAGGCTTCAATCCCTTTAATTTGCTAAAACACACCACCTGGTATCTGGGGGGACTTGTGCTTGCAATTCTAATCATACGCTATGCTTTCTCATTAGTCTGTCCACAAGTCCGAAGACAATTGCAGCTAACTCACTTGGGAATGCATCACCGGCATCTGGAAAAGAAATAGGGGGAGGAAAATTGATGTGGGGAGCCCTCCTACCTGGTCTCAAGGACTGTAGCCTCATTAATGGACAAAAGTGTCCCATGGCTAGGGCTGAGTGAGAAGGCCTTGGGGCCGTGAGCCACCTCAGAGACAAAACCTATCCTCATGGAAGGAGCCCAGCCCCTGCCTCCTTCACTTCCCCCTGCTTGGCCTGGGCGGATGACTGGTTAGCCAATGACAAGTAAGACTGCTCAAGGGAGGGGCAACCTAAGACAGGCACAGTCAGCAAAGGCCATCGGGAAAAGACTTAAGGATCTACAGAGAAGGGACAGAAAGACTCTCCCTCCTCAGTGTTGTCATAGCTTGAGTCCTCACTCTATCTGTAAGAGGTCTCCTCATCTCTTGGCTACTTTGCTCCCCATGCCTGACTCAGCCTGAAACCAATGCCAGAGGCAGCTGCGACCTTGTACTGGAACGAACAGCTCCAGGGTACAATCTGGCCTGAGAAAGGCCAGACTATACATTTTGTCCTTTGAAGCCTGCTCTGCATAGCATAATCTTGTTTATAGCAGCACCAGTGCCTCTGCTTATGCTGCATTTAGAAAAGTAAAAAGAAGTAGTTGTGGGAAATGGTGAAGGCTGGCTTCATAGCTAAGGTTGAGTGCTTGGCAAAGCCAGGCTTGACTGCTTGCACCTGCAAGGCAGATCCAAGTAAGCAGAGATAGCAGCCAGAACCTGTGGGTGTTGAGAATGAAATAGATACTACAAGCTTCAGCTTAATGTGACTGTAATTTTTACAGAAGACATAGGAATCAGTTAGATAGCGTGGGAACAAAACAGTCTGTGCCTGCAGAATCTCCCGCAGTTTGCAAAACGTCCTTGAGCTCTATCTAACCAACCCGTATGAAATAAACACGGAGACCATGTTCCTGGTTCATTATCTCGCCATCAGAAGCCGATGTCCCACTAGCCCCATTTTCCTTAAACTAACTGTGTTGTGTCTTTCTGCATCTCTTATCGCCCCCATTCAGGAAACTCCTCCAAGCTGGTCGCAGCAAACTGTAATACCACAATCATTAAAACATCATTTAAAAAAATAAAATAAATACTCTTGGCAGCTGACATTCAGGTAGAGGGGGCACCTGTCCTCACCCACAGACACCAGGTTCCTGAGGTTCTCCAGCATCACGTCTCGGTACAGCTTCCTTTGGGAAGGGTCCAGCAGCCCCAGCTCCTCCTCTGTGAAGACCACAGCCACGTCCTTGAACGTCACAGCCTCCTACAACACCAAACACAGTCAACCTCAATGTCACAACCACCCTCCACTGGGATAAGGGCAGCACTGAGTGGGCAGGGAGGATTGGTGGGAAGTTACTCTGGATGCTGAGGGGCTTGAGTCTCCCTTAGGTAGTGTCCTCCTGTTCCCAACCCAGCGTGTCAACTTCATACATTAATTTTCTATATAGTAGCATTAAAATATGTGCAATTAAAGAATAATTCCTGCAGACCTCACTTGGTTTCATTTGTGGGTATTCCTACAGTAGGGACCCTGGAACTGGAACTCTTGAATCACGGGGAGCTATACACTCTACATGCTGATCAATTCTACCAAATTGTTCCAGAATCGTTAGGTCCATTTACTCCCAACAGGATCTGGTAGTTTTCATCCTTCCTTTCTCACTCCTGCATTCACTGAGCCTGGGTACTGTCACTTTGTTAAAATTTGACAAAACAATAGGTCACCTCTCCTGAGGAGCTATGACATTGGCCCTCTGTGCTCTCAAGGCACATACCGCCTGTCTGTGACACTATTTATGACAGCATTCAAAGTGTCAAAGTGGCATATTTCCCTGCCAGAATACTTGAGTTTAAATCCCCAGCTGTGTACCCCTCCCAAGCTGCATGATCTTAGACCAAAAACCCCTTCATCTATTTCCTCATCTGTGTGATGCTTCTCATCACAGAAAATACTTACACCTACCAATGAATGAATAGACATAAAGTTACAATAACTGTCCTGTCCAATGCAGAAGCCAGTACTCACATGTGGCTATGGAAATAAAAGGTTAACATTACGTAAAATTACAAATTCTCTCCCACGGCTGCAATGGAATATTTCAAATGCTCCAGAGCCACATGTGGCCTGTGGCTACCACATTACACAGCATAACACACAACATGACAATCACGGCAGTTCTGCTGCACAGCACTGCCTGAGAGTCTATACACCTGGAACGTAGGAGGTTCACAATGAGTGTTACCTGTTCCCAATATGATTAGTGTGGTAAGGGTAGGATTACATTTGTATATTCATTTAGTCACCTCTCCTTTTTTTTCATGTTTGCATGATACATCTTTTTCCCTCCTTTTATTCTTAACCTGCTTATATCATTATGTTTAAAGTAAGTTTTTTATAGTCCTGGCTGGTGTGGTTCAGTGGATTGAGTGCCAGCCTCTGGACCAAAAGGTTGCTGGTTGGATTCCCAGTCACGGCACATGTCATATTTGTGGGCCTGCTTCCAGGTTGGGGCACATGAGAGGCAACCAATTGATGTTTCTCTTGCACAGCCATGTTTCTCTCCCTCCTTTCCCCTAACCCTCTCTCTAAAAATAAAATAAATAAAATATTTAAAAACAATTTTTAAAAGTGACTTTCTTATAACATATTGTTGGGTCATTTTATTTGTATCTTCATCTGAGGACACTTTATCCATTCCTTTGAATGAGTGTGTGTGTGTGTGTGTGTGTGTGTGTGTGTGAGAGAGAGAGAGAGAGAGAGAGAGAGAGAAAGAGGCAGGCAGAAAGGGCAATATCAACCTGAGAGAGAAAACATCTATCAGTTGCCTCCTGTATGCAGGTTGACTTCAAACTGAACTGACAACCTGATTATGTGCCCTGACCACAAATCAAACCTGCAACCTTTCAGCTGTAGGACAATGCTCCAACCAAGCCACAATGGCCAGGACCAGTTGGGTCATATATTTTTAATCACAATTCAAATCCCTGTACTTTAAAGGGCATATATAAGCCATTTACATTTAATGAATTACTTATGTTAGGATGTGAGTCTGCCATTTTATTTTTTCCATCTCTTTTACCCTATTTTCCTGCATGTTAGTTGATCATTTTTAAAATTGCATGTTGATTTCTCTATAACGTCTTATAGGATACCTTTGTACAGTTTTAGTGGTTGCTATAAGAATTACATTACTTACACATAACAATCTACTGTTGTTATGTTACCAGTTCCAAATTAAAAGTAGAAACCTTACTTCTCTTTAAGTGCCTTTACCTTACCCCACTTGTAATTATCTTAAATGCAACAGATGAACATCTCTCACACATCAATGTTTCTCTCCCCTTTCTCTCTGTCCCCTCCCCTCTCTCTAAAATAAATAAAAATATCTAAAAAATATACATCAGAAAATGTATATTAGTCTATCTTCAAGGTCTTCCTCTTCCCCTTCATTCTGCTGTTGAGTCCATTGTTTCAGTTTTTCAATTCCATTTACTATATTTTTCAGTTCTAAAATCCCCATTTGGATCTACTGTATATTTTCTATTTCTTTCCTAAAATTTTCTGGTTTTCATTTCATGTCTGTAGGTGGTTGCAGAAATACGTTTACAATGGCTGCTTTAAAATCCTTCTCAGATGCCCTTGCTGGGTGGCTCAGCTGGTTGGAGTGTCCTCCCATACACCAAGAGGTTGTGGGTTCGATCCCCTGTCAGGGTGCATTCAGGAGGCAACAGGAAGGAGATCAGTGCTTCTCTCCCTCTCTTTCTTCTTCCATCCCTTTCCTTTTCTAAGATAAATAAAATCATAGGCTCAGGTGAGGATTAAAAAAATTTTTTAAATGTCCTGACTGGTGTGGCTCAGTGGGATGAGTGCCCACCTGTGAACATAAAGGTGGCTGGTTCGATGTTTGGTCAGGGTGCACGCCCGAGCTACCGGCTGCGTCCCTGGCTGAGGGACTGCAAGGGGCAACCACACACTGACGTTTCCTTGCACATCCATGTTTCTCTCCTTCTCTTTCCTGCTCCATTCCCCACTCTCTAAAAAAATTATAATAATCATAAAATAATGAAATACAATAAAATACTAAGTAAAATAAGTCCTTGTCAGATAGATGAACCATGAAGACATTATGCCAAATGAAATGAGCCAGTCACAAAAGGATTCTGTACATAATTCCACTTATATAAGGTACCTAGAATAGTCAAGTACATAGATGCAGAATGTAAAATGTTGGTTGCCAGACACTAGGGACAGGGGGAATAGAAGTTCCTGTGTAATGGGTACAGACTTTCAGTTCAGGAAGCTGAAGAGTTCTGGACATGTGGTGACGACTCACACATTGTGAATGTACCAAACAACATTGAATGGTACACTTGAAAGCAACTGAAGTGGTAAATGATAATTTACAACATTAACAAAGCATCCTTAACAGATAACTAGCATCTGTGTCATATCATGATTCCGGCACTGTCCCTCTCTGTGGCTTCCTATTCCTGACAGACTGTTTGGGGCTATTCTAAATTTTTTCTTGTTTTTAAAGGACTTACATATTTATTTTTAGAGAGAGGGGGAGGGAGGGAGAAAGGGAGGAGACAAACATCAATGTGTGGCTGCCTCTCACACGCCCCCTACTGGGGCCCTGGCCTGCAAACCAGGAATGTGCCCTGACTGGCAATAGAACCAGCTAGAATGATCTGAAGGACAGCACTGAATCCACTCAGCATCAAAGCCAGGGCTAGAAACCCATGTTTAAAATGGGCAAATGACTTCAACAAACATCACAAAGAATATACAAGATGGTGAAAATGCAGAGGAAAGAGTATTCAACATCATTTCTTATGGTGAAAATACAAATTATAATCACAGTGAGATGTCATTTCTTCAGAGCTGATGAAATAAAAAAAGATCTACATCAAACAATGGAAAGATGTGGGGCAACTGAAACTCTCAGACGCTGCAGGGGGCTGTAAAATGGTACCACCCCTTTGGACAACTGTTTACATTTAATTACCCTGTAAGCTGAGTCATTTCACTTCTAGAAGTTCACCCAAGTGACATGAAAATATAGCTCCACAAGAAGACCTGTACAAGAATGCCACTCACAGGACTTTTATGCTTAGCAGTCAAAAGCTGTACAACGACCCAAAGATCCTTGAAAAGGAGAATTTTGTCTATCCTTCTAAAAGACAGCTTTCATATATTCATAAAATCTAGCACAACTCAATAAAAAGGGACAACACATTGATACACACAAGATAGATTGATATTGAAAACACTGTGCCAAGTGAGAGAAGGCAAGTACTACAAGATTACATACTGTACAAATTCATTACTTATATATAATTTCAAAACAAGTCAACTAATCATGTGATGACAGATCAGAACAGCAGATGCTTCCCCTGAGGAGGAAACAGACTTGAAAGCCACATGAGAGAATTTTGAGGGGTAATAGAAATGTTCTATTTCTGGTTTTGGGTGGTGGGCTAATGCAGTTATTAAACTTTTAAAACAGAGTATACCACCAGCACTGACTTGACATCTAAGATGTGTAATTTTTAGTAAGTAAATTACATTTCATTTTTAAAGCCCATGCAGAACTTTGATGACTCAAAACAAAATTTATTCACAGGCACAGTGGTGTATATGCCTGTTTGTAGCTGCTGAAAACTGCAAAATAGAAACCCTTCTCAGACAATGTATGGTTGTGGAAACAGGGGCCCCTCCCCAAGCTCCAACCCGACCTCCCACCCTGTGGAACACAGTGAAGGTTATCTGTGAGTAAACTGTGAGACCTTGAGAGCCTGCCCAGCTCTTTGGCCAAGAAATTGTTTGGGGATGTGGGCCCAGAGTATAAACTACAACATAGAAAACAGCCAGCGCTTTGATCTCACAGAGCTTGCAAGCAAGCAACCTGCATGCTTTCTCTTCTGTACTCTATTTACCCCTGTGCTGGGAAAGCCTGGGTTGAGGTAATTTCACCGACCAGCCAGGTGTTGTACTTCAAGGCCTAATAAACCCTTGTCTTACACAGCCAGCCCTCTGGGTTATTTCTATGGACTGGGCAAGAAATTAGCATAACAAAGTACATACAAGAATGGTGAATCACTAAAGACTCAAGTGATAATACTAAGGGGGAAAAAGATTGAAAAGTGAACATATACTGTGGTTTTAAGTATATAAAATATAATATGGGAAAAACAGTTCATGTTGCAGTGCAATAATTTGGCTTTTAAAACTTTTGATACCTAGGGATTTCTGCACTAGTACTTGAAATGAAGATGATAAACTAAAATTAAAACTAAAAGCGAAACTTAAAGACAAACAAAAATAGAACCAATATGAAAACTAACAAGCACATCAGACACACCTGTTTTTTATCCTTCTCATGGAAGAGAAAAAAGATGTGTCTAAGCTTTGATAAGAGGTTTCAACAGGTGAAAATCAGAAAAAGTAATTGAGACAACTGGAATAGAACAAACATCAACAAAAAAAGATAAAAGTCAAAACTCCACTCACCTGGAACTTGGTCATTTTCTCCTGCTTCTTCTGGGCCAGTCCAAACGTCCTGGAAAGACAGGAGTGGCAAAGGCCAGAGAGGACATGAGACACAGGTCCTGGCACACACGGCTCTTCTGTGTGAATTCTGAAAAGAGACCCCTCCAGCGCCGGGTCAGTTTGGCTGTGGTTGGGTGTGGTCCAAACCAATAGGGTGCAGGTTTGATCCCCAGTCAGGGCATATGCCTGGGCTGCAGGTAAGGGGGCCCCAGAGGATGGATGTTTCTCTCCAACATCAATGTTTCTCTCCCTCCCTTCCCCTTTCTCTGAAAATAAATCAATAAAATCTTAAAAAAAAAAACAAAAAAACGACAAAATAGAACCACACACTGCCAACCAGCTGAAGGCAGACTCTGGCCCACCTGTCTGGTGACATTACAACTAACTCCACTCTGAAAAGGACAGACAGAGAAATTAAACAACCCTACAATCACTGCCCCGGCTGGTGTGGCTCAGTGGATTGAGTGCTGCCCTGCAAATCAAAGGGTGTCTGGTTCCCAGTAAGGACACGCACCTGAGTTGCGGGCCAGGGGTCTGGTAAGGGGGCGCTCCTGAGGCAACTACACATTGACGTTTCTGTCCCGTCTTTCTCCCTCACTTACCCCCTCTGAAAATAAATAAATAAAATCTTTAAAAAAATAATTATGTCACTAGAAGCCGGGAAGCGTGAGAACCCAAAGGAACACTAGCGCCGACAGACCCTCAAACCTAGAACCGCGCGACCCCTGCCGCCCCCAACTCCACGAGTGACCAAACGCGAAGATGCCCTCCGCTCTTCCCCCCGCCCCCCACCCCGAGAGTCAGACCGCACCTGCGGGTCCCAACCCAGGCAAGCAGGAAGAGACCCGGGGTTCTGCACCCACTCACTTTCTAGAAGGCACTGTACACTCACATGCGCCCAGCTCTCCTGACGGAAAACGCTGGGACTATAACCCGCTCCAGGACCGCACTTAGAATCCCCGACCGGAACCACCGCTAAAGCTCCTCCCTCCCACAGCGGAAGTGGCTCTGACTGACCGGCGCTTCAGGACTACGCTTCTCAGAATGCTCCACAAGGTAGCACTTACGTAGTGTTGCCGCTTTCCAAAAAAAAAAAAAAAAAAAATGCGTAATGGTTCTATTCAGTCCTCAGATAATATTAGCAGGAAACCTCCCCTCCCCTCTTTTCCTTCTTTCCTCCCCCTCCCTTGTTTAAAAAAAAAACAAAAAACTTTTAACAATCACACAGCGTGACTGAAAAGTATATGTTGCTGTAGAGGACAAAAAACCCAACAGAGCCCCTCAAAGTCGTTTGGATGCTGTTGCTTTCTTTAGGCTACTTGTGCATGGGCTAATGGACATCTGTGATAGTTTATCTTGTGTGAATTATTCATTCCGAAATGGGGAGGTCACACAGAAAGGGAAAGTAACGATTCGTCAACCCACAAAACAAATACCAAAAGTCCGATTTTCGTTTCGACGCGAAATGCTTATACTTTTAATTATTTTTCTGGCAAATGAAGTAAATTCTGTAACTTAGGGAAGCTTAGAACATACGTCGAAAATGTTTCTTTCTCTAGTGCACCTTTGAATATATCATCATTTACATCCATCCTGCTCTTGACATAAATGTTTACTTTTTCACAAGGTGATTGAAATGAGCTGTGATTATTCAAAATGTAGGTGTGAAAATATGGGATCATGCCCCAAAAAAAAGTAAGAAAGCCAACAGCTGAAAATAATTCTTTATTCCTTTATTTTTAGAGAGAGAGGACTAGAGGGAGAAAAGGAGAAACATTGCTGTAAAGACAATCAGCAATCTGTGGGCCTAGCCAGCAACCCAGCCCTGTGCTCCAACCTGAGGTTGAACAAGTTTGGTCTGCAGACACACTGAGCTGCAGCAGTCAGGGCTCAACAAATTATTTTCAGCTTTCTTGAGGTAGAATTGACAAATAAAATAGTAAGACATCTAAAGTCTATGTGATGACTTGAAATATGTATAGTAAGTACATTGTGAAAAGATCCCCGCAATGAAATTATTTAACATCTATATTGCCTCACATTGCGAACTTTTTTTTATGGTGAGAAACAAGGATCTACTCCCTCAACAAATTTGAACTACAGTAACCATGCTATACATTAGATCCTCAACCTTCATAATCTTATAATTGCAGGTTTGTATCATTCAGCCAATCTCTCCCCATTTCCCTCATCTCTCTACCCCCCAGGCAATGACCACTATTCTAGTCTATTTCTGTGAGTTTCACCTTTTTTTAGATTCCACATATAATTCTACCACACAGTATTGTTACAGAATGGATCTGTTACAGCATGGATCTATGCCTGAAAGAACTATACTCATTCCCCAGAGGTCCCCCTGTATTACGTTCTCCTTGTTCGCCATCAGGTTATTATAGATCTCAGTGTCAGAGACTGGTGAAAAGGAAAGGAATTATTTACTGAAAAGTTATACAAGCTTAAGAGTAATGACTTAATGTCTTCACTGAGATCCCAAAGTCCCTTAGAATACCCACAAACACACACGGTCCTTCCTTCCTACTCTGCCCAGTCTGGGATCAGACTTTTTATTTTATTTTCTCTCACCTGGAACTTGGTCATTGTCTCCTGCTTCTTCTGGGCCAGTTCAAACGTCCTGGAAATACAGAAGTGGCAAAGGACAGAGAGGACATGAAACACAGGTCCTGGCACACAAGGCTCTTCTGTGTGAATTTTGAAAAGAGACCCCTCCAGCACTGGGTCAGTTTGGCTGTGGTTGGGTGTGGTCCAAACCAATAGGGTGCAGGTTTGATCCCCAGTCAGGGCATATGCCTGGGCTGCAGGTAAGGGGGCCCCAGAGGATTGATGTTTCTCTCCCACCTCAACGTTTCTCTCCCTCCCTTCCCCTTTCTCTGAAAATAAATAAATAAAATCTTTTAAAAAACCCCGACAAAATAGAACCACACACTGCCAACCAGCAGGTGGAAAAGGAATAAGAGGAACTAGCATAAGGAAAAGAAATAAAAGTCCGTGGCTGTAGTAGCTCCTTAGTTCTTTCCACTAATCCATGTTCAGCTGGCTGGCCTCCCTTGATATCCAGCACCTTCAGCTGTGTGGTAGCAGTGATCTCCATTTAATCCAAAAACATGTAGTACCTTCTTTTTTTTTTTTTTTGATTTTATTCGAGGGAAGAGGGGGAGGGCCACAGGCACTTCATGGCTCACGAGCAAGTCCTTTCACCCCTTTTTTCCCAAGAAGTTCTCTTCTAAGCCACATGCCAAAACAGAATAACCAAAAGCCATGTGATCCCAACTCTGCAAGGCACCTGGGCCCAGGTTTAAATCCAAGCACCAGCCAATCTTCTCCAGCCCCATTTCCAACTCTTCCCACAATCTGCCAAGGTACCAGCATTCCCTGACTTTTCCACCTTTTGTGGGCTGCCATAGTAAGTCCAGGCAGATGAGACCCCCTGGCGTGGAGCCAATCATCTCCAAGCTCTCACATAGGCACTGAAACCAGGGGGAGATACATCTAATACATACCTCTGATTATGTATAGATTACTGATTTTCTTTTTAAATGGTACTGCAAAGTAGTGGGGAATGAAGAAGAATTTTACTAACTGGTATAGGAACAACTAGGTAAATTTCAAAAACAGAACAAGGGAGGGAAGGAAGGAGGGAGAAAGTGAGAGGGAGCAATGAGAGAGACTGATCAGTCAGTTGGAAAAAGGACATTCTTGCCCTGGGTCAGTTTCCTGATCAGGGTACAAGCCTAGGTTGCAGGTTTGACCCAGTTGGTACACGTAGGATAGGTAACTAATTGCTGTTTCTCTCTCACAATGGTGTTTCTCTCTTGCTCTCCCCTCTCTATCAATAACCATGGCCTCAATAGAGGATTTTTTTTATAAAAGGAAAGAGAATATAAATTATCTTATATGTACCTGTTAAGAAGTTTCAAGGAAAAGAAGTGGAGTGACAATGGAGGTTGGGTTTTCCCTGGACATCCTGGCTTCTGTGATTATAATCACATTACAATTCTATCTGGATCAGTGGAGGACACTGGGCTCCAGCCAGAGTGGAAGATAAAATGAAGCAGAGCCAGCCCCAGCACATCCAGGAGCAAGCAATTGTGGTGACTTGAAGGTTAGGGGTGGAGGAACCGCCAGAAGAAACATTGTTCCCGGAAGAGACTGGTTCTTCTTGCTGATGCATGTAAAAACTTACAGATCATCAAGTCTATTCGTGTGTAATCAGTTTATTAGTGAACCATTCCCATGGAAGAAAAGAGGACTGGGTAGAGTGGGAGGGGAGGGGTGAAAGGCAAAGTTTCAGGACAAAGCAGGGCAGCAAAAGTAAGCGCAGCTAAAAACCAGGGTGGCAAGGCCTAGGGCAGCCTGAGGATGCCCTGCCAAAGGCCCAGTGGCCCAAGAACCAAGAGCACCTGGAGCCTGAGAGAGACAGGAAAAAAAAAAAGAGAGAGAGAGACACACACACAGTGAGAGAGAGAGAGGGCATGCCCTTTGTTCGGAGGACTTACATAGTTGGTGGGATAGGAGAAAAAAAGTTACATATTGGTTAATGGGTAAATGTGGTGCCAGCTTTCCTGGGGGAATGTGACTGCCCAAACTTAGGTATGTGTGAGGGTCTGTTAACCCAAATCCTTATCTTCCTCCAAACTCCATTTGTTCATCTTTTGTAAAACAGATACGTGACAGGATACAGTTAATTAAAATTGGGGGACTTTCTAAAGTTATTTATGTACTCTTTCTATAAGCATCAGGGACTCCCTCGTAAATATAAACAGTGACCAGAGGTAGACGATTAACCTAAGTTGTTTTATGGGCTTCTTTTTGGGCATGGGGGACCCTCTCCTGCATTCCAGGCCCTGGGATGAAAGCAGTTTCAAGGCTTTCTTTCCCAGATAGTGGAAAATACTGCACAGAATTAATTCCAAGGACTTCCCTTCCTTCTTGCTAATAGTGTTTCTTGTGATGTTGGAACACTTCACAACATTATCAGACCAGGCTCAGGACTGCTAAGTTAGCTTGTGAGAACTGTCTCCTTCCTCCCCCTGCCTCGGTTTATTTATTCTACCTAATTAGTAAAAGGTGTTTCCTGGCAACCAGGATGCTAGACGCTGGCTAGTAACGGCATTGCAGTCACAGAATTCTTCCTGTGCTGGCTCCTGCCTCACCATGGCAACATCTGCCCCATCTCCCAGACTCAGTAAATTCTAAGATGAATGAATCATCTTTTATCAGAAAAACATAGCACTGAGAGCTTTCCTTACCACCGTGGACCTATTTTTCACCTCAAAGTCTTTTATAATTTCACTATAACTTTTTTCTTCCTCCATTGGCTTTTAAGGGTTTTAATTGCATGTATTTGTGAATTATTGATTCACATAAAACATATGGGTGTTTCAGCACAGGCATATCTCCACAGATTGGAAAAACATTCCTGAAAAGAGATGTGTCTTCATGTCCTCTTAGAGAAAAGACCTGTCTGAACCAGCCAGTGCTCCTTTGTACTGAACTTGGCAACAAAAGGTAGTCACAGGAAGATTATAAATGGCAGACAGTGAGAGAGAATTTCTTTCATGCTAATCGGTACAGGTGTTTGCTTACTTCCTACTGTGGAGGCAAGTTGAAAATTAGTGACCAATCTTTGATGTTTATATTTCTCATATCTTATAGATGAGTTTCATTCCATTGAGTTCAGAGAATACTTTATATAATGGTTTGTATAATTTCTTCATATACTTTGTGTATTTTGTATGATTTCTTCATATATTTTGTGTGATTTCTTTTAAATTTTCTTAAGACGTGACTTGTGGCCTAATAAGTGGTCTACAGTGTACAACATTCCAGGTCCATTTGAGAGAAAAATATGCATCTGGTTGATTTTCAAAAACCTGAAGGGTTTAAAGTGGTAAATGCTTAAGTCCTAAGGTTTTAGAAGTACAAAACTGGGGCAAGACTTAGCTGTATCATCATGT